CCGGATGGAGGAGATGATTAAGCAGAAGACAGAGAGCCTGCCTTTCTTCCCTCCTGGAGTTACTTCTTCACGCTTGCCGCTTCAACAGGAAGGTTTACTCGCGAGATGTTTCGCAGCTCAGGTTAGAGGCTAAACGTTGCATTTCAGCTGCTGTGGGTCTTCTGCAAAAGCTCGACTGGGCTCGCGCCCCGGACCCGTGGACTCAGAACAGGCGCCCCCGGGCCCCGCGCGATTCTCTGGCCCTGCTCTTCGTGCCCTGCCGTGACGCCGTCCTGGCAACGGGGAACCGTGCTGCGCAAAGGCTGCTGCCGTGGAGCAGCGGCCGGCCCTTCCATGGGGCAGGGTGAGGCACCCCCCGGCGGCCCTGCAGGAGGGGGCCAAAGCTGGGAGGCCAGCTGCGGGGTCCATGGCTGCCCAGCCCGCTGCCTTGGAGGAGCTGGACGCTGCTGCTCTGTCGCCCGTGTTGGAGGAAGCGCCACGAGGGATCCGTCTCGTCCTTCCCCTCGGTGTCCCGGGCCAGCCCTGGAAGCCATCCCTGGAAACAGCCTTCTCCTCTTGCTCTTCTAAGGTACAGTGCTTCTGAGCATGGAGGATTCTTTGCAGCAGAGCCCGCCTCCAGAAACTATCCAGTCCCCTCTGAGCATCCTCTGAGGCTCTGGCTCACTCACCCCATGGCAGTGAATTCCATTGCCGCTCGTTTAATTATGTGCTGGGTGACGAGGGAATGTCTCTTGTCTCTCCTGCATGAAGAGACCTTTCCGATGTGTGACCCCCGTCTCCCAGCACTTATGGCGGAGTGAGTGGAGGGGGAGCAAGAAAGGAAGGAAAGCAAATCCCTCTGCACTTTCTGCACCCCACGCCGAATTTTATAAACCTGCCCCATGCCCCCCCCCGCTCCCACCTTGGCCACTTCCCTCCGCATTTGAGGCCCAAATGCCTTCCCTTCTCACGGTCAGCGCCACTCACTGTTATGCGTAAGCCGGTTGTAATTAAAATTAACACAATGAGGCCTGGCCCTTGATTGCACTAAAGCATTTCTTATTGATTGCAACACTTTGCATATTTGAAAACGGGAGAGAGCCTGCCAGCCCCCAGCCAGTTCGGGCGGGCCTTGGCACAGCCCCCGCAGCCGTCCCCGCGGTGGCGTTACTTGAAAGAAATTAGCTGCAAAGTTAATTCATTCACCAGCGCCCCTCCCCCCTCCGATCCCCCCTGGCGGAGTTAAGACCGCTTTTCCAGCAATAAACAACGGCTTAATGGGTCCCCTTTTAAACCCCGTCCTTTAAAGAGAAATCACAGGCACACGGCATGTCCCTCATTCCACTGGTGCCATCCAGGAAAGGACTTCGGGGCGCCGCTCGGCACGGCCAAAAGGCCCCCCGACGCAGCCAGGCTGGCTGCCCACTTGGGCACGTCCCGCTCCGAAGACCCCGCTCCCCCGCCCCCGCCCGCCCCGCACAAGCCCACCCGCCCCGCCTCGCAGCCCAGTCTTGGACGCGGTGGAGGACCCTCTCCGACGCGAGGCCGGCTCATGCACCACCCTGGCTCAAGATGCCGCAATGCCAACACCCTGCAACCAGGAAGCGGCCTCCTTCCCGGGGGGGGGGGCGGCTGGCGCTGTGCAGGAGGGCCGAGGACAGACCTCGCGCAGCGGCATCCGCAGCCGCACACCCCTCGCACCCAGAACCCACGCAGGGGCTTCCCGCTGAGTTCCGTGCAGCCCTCCCAGCAAAACAAGCAAGCCCGGGTGCCCAGCTCTGCAGATCCTGCTGCAGCCTGGCCCCTCAGCGGACGCCGCAAGCCGAAGGGACGGAGGTCCGCCGGTACGCGGCCGCAGAACTGGCGCTGGGGTCCCGCCTGGGGTCTTTGCGGCTGGCGCAGCGGGACGGGGAGGGGGGCCCTGCCACCCATCCTGTCTCTCTGGAGTCGCTGCCCCCGTCTGGGAGCACGAGACCAGCAGAAGCCGCCCGCCCATCCCAGGGCTGTGGACGAGGCCTGGCCGCCCACCCCTCCCCGGCTCGGGGCAACGGCCGCTCCTAGCCCTACCTGCATGCCAAGGGGGGCCGTACTGCGGAGGATGCCCCTGCCATAAGTCATTACAGTGAGTGAGTGAGTGAGTGAGTGAGTGAGTGTGTGTGTGTGTGTGTGTGTGTGAAGGAGGAGGAAAGAGAGGAGTGAGCCAGAGAGGAAGTTTAAAGGAAGGAGCAGAGGGGGAAAGTTTCGCTGCCTCTCCCGCGAGACGCGCCCTCGCGCCGATGCCCCCCGGGCCCCTGGGGAATCAGCCCCGAAAGTTACCTGTGGCTGGCCGGGGGGGGGGGTGCGAGAGCGGGCGCAGAAAGACCCCCCCACCCTCGCCGCCCCTCGCGCGTCGCTTCGCGGTACCTGAAGTCGCTGTACGGGTGGATGATCCAGAAGCCGGCGGACTTAACCCGTTCCTGCTCGCGCTCCACCGCCTTCTGGCTGCCGAACATCCTCAGGGAGAACTTGTTGACCCCGGGCTGCAGCATGGCCCCGAACTGGCGCTGCATGAAGCCGGCCTGGGCCAGCCGCTGCTCGTCGTCCGGGCCGATCTGGTCGCCTCCTCCGGCCTCGCCCCCTCCCCCGCCTCCGGGACCCCCACCCCCTTCCACCTTGACGAAGGCGGAGGGCGGCGGGGGCCGCGCGTCCGCGGGGGGCGAGGGCGCGGGGGGCGCGCGCGCGGCCTCCGAGGGGCTGCCCGGGCTGCGCCCCTCGCCGGGAGACGCCGCCTCGCCCTCGCCGCCGAGCAGGCGCCGCTCCTCGCCCGGGTCGTGCGCGCCGCGGCCGGCCAGGGACG